CTCCCGCCTCAGTTACCCTGCCCATGACCCAGGGCAGACTCCAGTCCCATGCCCTCCTGTGGGGGTATCGGAGCTGGCGTGTCCCCCTGCGGTGGGTGCAGTGCTCTGGTGGTAGACACTGCTCTGACTCAGTGCTCAAGGGGCAGAGCTGACTTCTGTATCCCACTAACAAGCACCTGGAGATGTCCCCCTTGCTGCCTTTAGCTGACACTACCTGGCCTAGGCAGGAGAACTGGAGGAACCCTGGGAGGGCAGTTTGTGATGTTATTGACACAAACTGTGACCATGTAGACCATTGTTGCAACCAAGATCCTGATATTGTACATGATATGGCACCAAATATTGTACAAAGGTTGTCGAGTGAGGTGTCTATGTCCAGGTTATGATTTGCTGGTTATGATTACACTGTCTGTATCATTTTTGTAGTTAAAGTTATAAGTATATGGACTTTGGGAGATGCCAATCCACATCTGAGCTTTCCTGGGAACGTTCAAACTAACATGTAAACAATGGCATCGGCCTGCAAATTGAGTCATGCATGGACATGTGACTCCAGACTCCATCTTGCTGCTGTGATTTTCCACAGTAAAAACAAAGGGGTGTCCTTAGAATCATAGAATATCAGGGTTGGAAGGGACCCCTGAAGGTCATCTAGTCCAACCCCCTGCTCGAAGCAGGACCAATTCCCAGTTAAATCATCCCAGCCAGGGCTTTGTCAAGCCTGACCTTAAAAACCTCTAAGGAAGGAGATTCTACCACTCCCTAGGTAACGCATTCCAGTGTTTCACCACCCTCTTAGTGAAAAAGTTTTTCCTAATATCCAATCTAAACCTCCCCCACTGCAACTTGAGACCATTACTCCTCGTTCTGTCATCTGCTACCATTGAGAACAGTCTAGAGCCATCCTCTTTGGAACCCCCTTTCAGGTAGTTGAAAGCAGCTATCAAATCCCCCCTCATTCTTCTCTTCTGCAGGCTAAACAATCCCAGCTCCCTCAGCCTCTCCTCATAACTCATGTGTTCTAGACCCCTAATCATTTTTGTTGCCCTTCGCTGGACTCTTTCCAATTTATCCACATCCTTCTTGTAGTGTGGGGCCCAAAACTGGACACAGTACTCCAGATGAGGCCTCACCAATGTTGAATAGAGGGGAACGATCACGTCCCTCGATCTGCTCGCTATGCCCCTACTTATACATCCCAAAATGCCATTGGCCTTCTTGGCAACAAGGGCACACTGCTGACTCATATCCAGCTTCTCGTCCACTGTCACCCCTAGGTCCTTTTCCACAGAACTGCTGCCTAGCCATTCGGTCCCTAGTCTGTAGCGGTGCATTGGATTCTTCCATCCTAAGTGCAGGACCCTGCACTTATCCTTATTGAACCTCATCAGATTTCTTTTGGCCCAATCCTCCAATTTGTCTAGGTCCTTCTGTATCCTATCCCTCCCCTCCAGCGTATCTACCACTCCTCCCAGTTTAGTATCATCCGCAAATTTGCTGAGAGTGCAATCCACACCATCCTCCAGATCATTTATGAAGATATTGAACAAAACCGGCCCCAGGACCGACCCTTGGGGCACTCCACTTGATACCGGCTGCCAACTAGACATGGAGCCATTGATCACTACCCGTTGAGCCCGACAATCTAGGCAGCTTTCTACCTACCTTATAGTCCTTCCACAGGCAGAGAATATAAAAGGCCCTGAAAACCTCTCCATCTTCTCTTCAGTCCTGCTTCTGACCTCTGGAGGAACCTTGCTACAAACCAAAGCTCTGAACAAAGGACTGAATGACCCATCCCAGCTGTGGATGCACTCCAGAGACTTGATTTGAAACTGCAGTTTATTCCATCACAGCTACAAGCCTGACCCAAGAACTTTGCCATGACTGTATGTAATTGATTTCATTTAACTAATTCTAGCTCTCATCTATATCTTTTTCCTTTTATAAATTAACCTTTAGATTTTAGATTCTAAAGGACTGGCAACAGCATGATTTGCGGGTAAGATCTGATTTGTCTATTGACATGGGTCTGGGGCTTGGTCTTTTGGGATCGACAGAACTTTTTCTTTTACTGGGATACTGGTTTTCATAACCATTTGTCCCCATAACAAGTGGCACTGGTGGTGAAACCGGGAAACTGGAGTGTCTAAGAGAATTGCTTGTGTGACTTGTGGTTAGCCAGTGGGGTAAAACCAAAGTCCTCTCTGTTTGGCTGGTTTGGTGTGCCTTAAAAGTGGAGAAACCCCAGCCTTGGGCTGTAACTGCCCTGCTCTAAGCAGTTTGTCCTGAATTGGTACAGGCTGTAACTGCCCTGCTCTAAGCAGTTTGTCCTGAATTGGTACTCTCAGCAGTGTCCCACCAAAGGCAGCATCGTTACACAGGGCTGGAGGCTTGAATGCTGTGTCCCATCCCGGGGTGGCTCGCTCGGCTCCTCAGGGTTGGGGGAGGCGGGGGCACAGCAGTCAGCCCTGGGAATACCAGGTGGGGAGTGAGGCAGGAGTGTCCAGAGAGGGCTCAGGTATCACAGGATGGAATCTGTGGCTGTCCCTAACACGCACGGTCACGTGACCTGCTGCTCAGGCCCGTCTGCCTGGCACTCGTTCTTCTTGAGGATGATGCTGCTGAGTTCCTGAATGAGTTTCTCATTCATGGGTGATGGCAGCTGGGCACTCCTCTTCCTGGCACCATCCTGCAGGGGCTCGGGGCTGGGAGACAGCTCCAGGGAAAGGGGCAGCAGCGCAGTGTGCGGGTTCCGAGTCCAGTTCTGCTCCCTCCCCACAGCAGGCAGCGTGCGGGGCAGCTCCATGTTTCTCTCGAGCGAGGCTGTTTGGGTGGCTCTGAGCCCAGGGGACCTGTCCCACCCCGGGGCCTTTTCAGGCTCCAGGGTCAGGCCCCTTTCAAGGGAAAGTGACTTGGTGAAGTGGGCGCCAGACGCTCTCTGCTCTGGGCTGATGGGCTGGGCGGAGTGAAGTGCTGGGGGCGCAGGCTGCTCTGGGACCGGCTTCTTGGATCTGTCCACAGCGGGCACCTGGGAGAGCTCGGCCAGGAGGCCTCCGTCCAGCCCCAGCGGGGCCAGCACTGGGAAGTCGCCCACCTCCTCGTAGACAGGCTCCGTGTCCGCTGCCTCCTCCTGCTGCTCCTCTACCGAGTCCTGGTGCAGCTTCATGGGCTGAGCGAGGGCCAAGGGGAGAGAGGGGAGAGGGCTGGGAACCGTACCCCATGCTTCCTGGGCGAGTCCCCTGCAGTACCCAGCCCTGCCCCGGGGCCAAGCAGCAGGGGGCCCAGACCCAGGGAACACTGCGCAGGACTGATCCCTTCCCACACGGGCTGGGGGGCAGAGAGAGAGGGCAAGTACCTACAGACCCTCACTGCGCACCAAGCACAGGAGCAGCAGGTGCTGCCAGGGAGCGGGGGCAGGGCCTTTCTGGGATGTCTGCCAGCGGGGGGGCAGGGGGGAGGTGTGAGCCCCCGGTTGCTGCCCCTGCTTCAGGGGGAGCTGCTGGATCCAAGAGGCTCCTGTGCCTGACTCATATCAGAGGGTCTAGCCTCCCCCAGGCCTGGGCTGGCCCTAGGCAGGAGGGGCTTCTGCTGCCACTCTGGGGCCTTCTCAGCCACCAGCTTTGCCTGAGACAAGGCTGGGAGCAGCCAGGGGCTAGGACAAAGGGTGTGCCAGCTGCATCCTCCTCTGCCCCGCCTGACACCACCCTCAGTGCCTGCCCAGCCAGACTTTGCCTGGGTGAAAGGGGTCCGTGGCCAGGCACCCAGAGCAGGGCCTAGACCAAGCCTGAGCTGGAGTGATCAGCTGGATGGATATATTCTGTCCCTGACCTAGGCCCACTGGCTGAGAGTGCTCCCGTTTGTACCCACAGCTGGAGCTGTGCCACCAGGGGCAGCGACCCCAGAGCAGGGGGCAGGATGACAGCAGCCCAGGAACCTGGGGTACAATACGCAGGATGTGCAAGCTAACGCTACCCCTCCCCCCTCCCAGCATGGCTGCTGTCCCCCACTGGCTTGTTCCCTGGGCTGGCTTTCAAGGCAGAGGCAGCTGGTAGACCACCTGCATCACAGCTCCTGGTGCAGCACAGACCCTATTCAGCACCAACTGGAGCCATTCTGAGTGCCAGGCCCTGCCTCTCCCAGCCCAACTCGGCCACGCTGCCTCCACCCCCCAGCTCCTTCCCAACTTGTCGGGAGACTCCAGTGTGTGGTCGAGACAGAGCACAAAGCCATGCATAACCACCCCCCCATGTCAGCTCTAGCCACCCGCGTGTGGAAGGAGCATGCCGCTCAGACTCCCCTGGCAGCCCTGGGCTGGCAAGATGGGGCCAGCTGACTCCAAACACATGGGGGGAAAGGGGGATGAAAACAGTCCTTTCCTGCTGACACCCCAGATGTGCCCTTGGGGCAACCTGACCTGAGCAGTGACATCACAGCACAGAGCACCTGTGGGGCTCTCAGCAACAGCAGGGAGTGTTGGAATGAAGTTAACACCTGCCTGGCACTCGCTGGATGGGGCTGCATCGCCCATCTCTGGGCTGGGATGCGGCAGCTGTTGGACAGCACATGGTAACAGCCATTTGGGGCAGCAAAGAAAGGGGACTCCCATGCCCAACTGAAGGGGCAGAGGAATCTAGGGAGGCCAAGTGGACTGACCCAGATTCGAATTTGGCCAGGACACCAAAGCTTGAGAGAAAGGGCCTGGGATCTCTAAGGAGTGCAAGTGGCTAGGACCTCCGCTTCCCAGTCCATGCTCCTCAGAGCTAGGTTCCCAGCCCATGCACAGCCTCCGGGCATGGCACTGCACTGGCCATGCCTGGGTCGGCACTGCCAGGAAAGCAGATTGCCCATGGGGTGTAAGCTAAGCCCTGCAGTGCAATGGAAGCACTGTGACTGCAGCTAATCCAGAGCTCCCCGGGCTACCCTGGGCATGGCACAGCACAGCAAGGCACAAAGCAAAGCACCCGGCGGAAACATGCAGCCCACATGCAGATACTTACAAAGAACATAGACAAAGTCCTTCGCGTATGCAGGCGGCGCTAGAAACAGAGGGAGACGGGGAGAGTAAGCGACTGCCAGTGCAGAGGGGTTGGGCTGCAGGAAAGGGGAAAGCAAACCCCTCACGTGGGGCCAGGCAGGACATACTGCTACGCACAGGGGTGTACGGCTCACTGTACAGCAGGGCTGGGACCTCTGCACAGACACAGCCTCACCCACAGGCACAGACACAGCCCTGGGGGCAGTCCCCCCCTGCAGACACAGCCCCGCAGGCAGCCCCCGCAGAAGCGCCCCCAACCACAGACCTGGCCCCCACTCACTCTATCCCCCCGTCCCTCTGTCGCTCACTCTCCCCACCCTCACTCTCTTGCTCGTTTTCACCGGGCTGGCTCAGGGGGTTGGGGTGCGGGAGGACATGAGGGCTCCAGCTGGGGGTGTGGGCTCTGGGGTGGGGCCAGAAATGAGGAGTTCTGGGTGCAAGAAGGGGCTCGAGGCTGAGGCAGTGGGTTGGAATGCAAGAGGGGGTGAGGGCTCCGGCGTGGGGTCAGGGATGAGGGGTTTGGGGTGCAGGACGGGGCTCCCAGATGGCGGGTGGAGCCAGATGGGAGGTGGAGCCGAGGGGGTTTAGAGTACGGGAGGGGGCTCTGAGTGAGGCAAGGGGTTGGGGTGTGGGAGGAGGTATGGGCTCTGGGCTGGGGGTGTGGGCTCTGGGGTGGGGCCAGAAATGAGGGGCTCAGGGTGTGGGAGGTTGCTTCGGGCTGGGGCAGGGGGTTGGAGAGCAGAGGGGGGTTGAGGGCTCTGGCTGGGGATGTGGGCTCTGGGGGGGAGGGGCTGGGGATGAGAGGTTTGGGATGCAGGAGGGTGCTCCGGGCTGGGACTAAGGGGTTTGGGGTGCGGAGTGAGGGCTGCAGCTGGGGGTGTAGGTTCGGGGGCAGGGCTGGAGATGAGGGGAAGAGGGGGAACAGGGCTGGGGCTGGGGCAGGGGGTTGGGGCCTGGGACGGGGTCAGGGGTGCAAGCTCCAGGCAGCGCTTACCTCAAGCAGCTCCCGGAAGCAGCAGCATGTCCCCCGTCCCGCTTCTATGTGGAGGTGTGGCCAGGCAGGGGGGACACAGAGGGGACATGCTGGCTACTTCCCAGGAGCTGCATGGCATGGACGCAAGCAGGGAGCCTGCCAGCCCCGCTGTGCAGCGCCACCAACCTGACAGTCAACGGCCCGGTCAGCAGTGCTGATCGGAATCACCTGGATCCCTTTTTGACTGGGCATTCTGGTCGAAAACCAGATACCTGGTCACCATAGCCGCCCTCCCCCCACAGACGCGGTCTCGCAGGCAGCCTCCCCCCACACTCCGCGAAGACGTGGCCCCACCCACAGACACGGACTCGCCGATAGCAACCCCCCCATGCAGATGCGGCCCCGTCTGCAAACACAGCCCCACCCACACCCTGTCCAGCCCCAGCCCCACTCACACCCAGATCACCCCCTGCCCAGCCCAGCCCAGCTCTCACACCCGCAGCACAGAGAGGCAGCCCTGCACGACGGACACAGACTGCAGCACCCCTGCATGTTTCACTGGTTCTCCCCTGAGGCTGTCTGGAGCTGGGTGGGGGTGTTTGGAGGTGGCGGGTGCTGGCGCTCTCTTACCAGGGTCTGGTTGGCAGAGAGCATGGTGGCATCTGTATTGTCTCCCCGCAGAGGGATCAGGGGCATGGTGCCAAACTTCTGCTTGGCGAGGTCAGAGGAGGAGCGCCGCCGCATGATCACTGGGCGCAGGTCGTCGTGCTGCATGAGAGTGCCAACAAGTCACTGCTTGGTGTTCCCAGCCCCCACCCTGTCCTAGGCCCACTACATGCCTGGCACACCGGCTCTCACCCACCTGAGCCTTCAGAATGCTTGTGGTCCAGTCCCACAGCTCGGCCTGCCCCATGCACGCCAGGTACCTGCAGAGCCAGAGGAGACACTGGCTAGATATTGGGGACCTGGCACCTGCTGCTATCCACAGAGAGAGGTGCTACCCCAGGGCAGCTCGCTGTGATGGCATCAGCCAGCTGCAGGGCTCTGCCCGCCTGGCTCTCAGCTCCCCCAGGGGCTGCCTGAAGATGGGAAGTTCCTCACACAGGGGCCGGGGGCTGGGAGCCCAGCAGGGATCAGCTCACCCCACAGCCCGGGGATCTCTAACTAGCACCAATGCCAGCACCGCCTCCCTTAGTGCTGAGAACTTTGTGCACAGTCACAATCCCCAGTGTTGTGGCTCCCCCAGTGCACGGCACGGGCATGTGAGGGGAGACAGCTGGCAGCCCAGCCCTGCCCCCCAGACTCTCTGGCTGTGGGGAAGTTACCATTCTCAGCCTTCATGCTGCACAGCCACAGGGGTCACATGCACTGAAGGGGAAAGAAAAAGGAAGTGGCTTGGCTGGTGTCACACAGCCTGCTTGTATCATCCCTAGCAGTACTGCCAGCTACCAGCCCCGAGCTGGACCGGGCCGCTGGGACTGCTGGCTGCTCAGCACCGCTCCAGCAGAGCACAGGGGCAGGGACAGCGCTCTGGGGGCTGGCAGTAGGGGCAAGGGGTGCACAGCTGACCTAGGGATACCATGTAGAGCAGTGTGCGATGCAATGAGCTCATGGAGGTAGTGGGAACATGCCATCAGGACCACGCGCCCTGGCAAGCTCACTGGGTGGGGACCCAGACTGTGAGAAAAGACCAGGGGATGGACAAGCATCTGGCCCATCACAGGGGATGGGCTGGGGCCAGCAGACTCTAGACTGGAACCGGGGGTGCGGGAGGCCACGTGCTGGGCGCTCTTAAAGGTGCAGTGCATGGTGGGCCCAAGAACCCCAGAGCAAGTCTGGACAGTCTGGAAAAATCAAGTGGGGTGAAATCAAGCAGTGAATTCAGGGACAGAGGCCGGTGCACACACGTGTGTATGCAGCACAGGGAGCAGGGGCCAGTGGGGGAGAGTGGAGGGCAGGGAGCAGGCAGTGTCCATGCTGCTGATGCTCTGCAGTCTGTGCCCCCAGGATGGGCAGCTAGTGGCTCTGGCAGAACCTGGCTGCCCATGCAGTCAGTCAGGGCTTGCTTATTTCCAGGCTCAGTAGGTGTGCTGAAGGCCCCGTGCCCAGCTGGGGCCAGGGAAATCAGCAAACAGAGGGTGTGAGTGCACGCATACACACAAACAAAAGATGTCTGCGCACACAAGCAGGGGTTGTGCACGCACATAGACACACACAGGGCATCACACACAAAGGATGTATGTGCACACAGGGTACACGCACAGAGGGCACGTGCGCACACACACCCACGTGCAGGTGCAGCAGAATTTTTGAAGCAGAGACACAATTTGCTTTCCCATTTTCGGGGGTCTATGCAACTTCCCTGCCAAGGTCCCTCTGCTTCCGCTCCAACAGCTGGGGCTGCCAGCCCAGCCTGCAGCCTCAATAACCACTGGGGCCTGGTGCGAGCCAGACACTCCCACTGCCGCACCCTCTAAGTGCCCAAGCCTGGCCTGTGCTGTGACTCCATGTCACTGCGCCCCTGCCTGGGTGCTCTCAGCTTCCAGCTCCCCAAGTCAGATTCCTGACCCCTAGTTGCCAGGGCTGGGGGAAGGGGGATCCCGATGGCCTGACTAGAGCTGGGGATGCCGAGCAGCAGGCCATGGCTACAGGGACCCTGGCGTCCTGCGTCCCTGGGGCGAGGGGACCCCACGAGATACTCACAGCTGCTGCTTGTCCAGGATCAGAGTGAATCCCCACCTAGAGCAGAGGGACACAAGGCACAGTCAGGCCAGGGCCGGCACTAGAGCCAGAGCTCAGTTGTGGGGCGGGGTTTGAACTGGGGGTTGCAGTGTCCGAGCTGGGGCAGACTGGCAGGTCCCTACCAGGTTGGTTCTGGAGCGGAGGCTTGGGGCACTGCAGCTGGGCGATGGGATTAGAACTCGCCTAGCACAAGGGGGGTTGAATCAGGGCTCCACCTGGTAGAGGTCACGCCCTGAGCTGTAGGACAAGTCTGGGGTAGGGTTAGGGGTAGCGCCAGGCAAACGGGCCCAGGAAGTGGGGGTGCTGGCAGAGGCTAGGCACAGTGCTGGGGCCGGCTCTGGGCAGAGGGTGCGGGAAGGTTACCGTCAGGGCAGGTGTTACCGCTCAAAAGGCTCCTGCACCCCGGAGCCCAACTCTTACTGGGACGGCGGCTTCAGCTTCTTCCGAATCCCCATGTAAACCTTGGCCATGTCGAGGGGCCACTCCCGCTCCGGCCGGGCACTCTGGGAAGCGAGAGCCAGACAGACAATCAGCCCTGCCCATGGACACTCCCCATCCCCCCAGCCCTGCCCTGCCCTCCCCTCCCCTGGCCCCACCCTGCCCTCCCTTTCTGCCAGCTCCCCTCCACCAGCCCTGCACTCCACTCTCTGCCAGCACCTCTCCCACACTAGCCCAGCCCTTCCAGCCTTGCTGGCACCCCTCTCTTCCTCTCTCTGAGGCCTCCTATCCGCACCTGCCCCAGGGATGTGACAGGGCTCCCCACCCTGCACAGAGGGAAAGGGCCCCAAGACTTGGGGTGTGTGAGGGGCACAGAGAGAATCCAGAACCTTCCCCTGACATGAGCTGGTCGAACGGCCGCCCCTCCGAGCCTGGTCTGGCAGCCCCTCCCCCCGGACTGCACGCCCCATTCCTGTGGCTGGAGGCAGGGCAGGCGTTGGCCTGGCTGCCCAATCTCTGGGAGAGCTTTCCACCACAGGAGAGGGGGGCCCTGATCCCAGGGGCCGTGGCAGGCCCGCTCCTAGCCCAGCACTGACCATGTGTCTGGGCTGCCCCAGAGGGCCAGGTCTGGGTCCTGCTTTACCCTTTTCTCCTTCAGCAGCAGCAGCTTGTGATCCTGGATGACGAAGTATCGCTCCTGAAACTTGCAGCCCAGGAGTTTGGGGGGCTCCTCCCGACACTTCAGCACCCCACACTTGGGGCTCTTGCGCTTGGCACCTGCACGAAAGGGGAGAACAAGAGGGTGAGGAATATCCTGGGCACCCAGAGAGAGGGCCTGGGCAGGGCAGGAGCAGGCTGGGGATGGGGATTAGGAGCGCAAGGGGTTGGGGGGGGGTGTCAGACAATAGTGGGGGGCAAACAGTAGGAGCGGGGGGGGTGTCAGACAATAGGAGCAGAGGCTGGGGGAAGGGGGATCCCGAGGCCCTGGGATCAAGGCCCCCCCTCGCCCTGGTTCTGTCCCCCTGGTTTCCCTGCACGAGTCGCTGGTTCACAGCCCTGGCTGGCTCTGAGCGTCACTAACAGGACAAGTCTTTTTTCACCTCCAGGGTGTGAGGACTGGCCCAGCCTGGGGCCGTGGCATCACAGCTCACTCAGCGGCCTGTGCACTCCCAGCCTGCAGCCTAAGTCACACAACAGGCACTGACTGCCCCCCTGCAGGCAGCCTCAGCACAGGCCACAGACTGTGCGGGCCATGGGGACCAGCCAGTGCCACTGTTCTGGGTCCCATGGCTGGGCTGGGCCAGGCCAGGGCCAAGGATCAGAGCCATGGGCAAGGAAGGGCCTGACAGAGGCCATGGGCAGGGGGATCTGTGGCCAAGCCGGGCTGGGGCCATGGTCAGGGGAAGCTGGGGCCAGGGCCAGAGCCGGACTGGGGCCATGGGCAGGGGGAGCTGGGGCCAGGGCTGGACTGGAGCCATGGGCAGCAGGAGCTGGCCTTGCTGCATGTGCTGCACTCTATTCTGCAGGAATGGCCATGGGCTCATGCAGGGCCTTGCAGCCCAGCCATGGCAGGTGGCGCTTACCTGTGAAGAGACAGCTGCCTTCTCCAATGGGAACCTTCCTCACCAACAGGTAGGCGGTACTGGGCTCAGGCAGCTTACACCACTGCAGAGCCTGCTCCAGGACCTTCTCCTTGGGGTGTAGGGGGCGCTCTAGGGAGAGGAAAGGAGGCCGTTTGCACCCCGGGCAGCAGAGGAACTGCCCTGGGCCCTGAGGCCAGGGAGGATCCAGCTCCCTCATCAGGGCCAGGCCCACCACAGCTCAGACAGGGCCGGTGCTGCCCTGCTGTGCCAGGGCGCGGGGCTGTCAGAAGGCGTGGGCACCCCCTGCCTCCACAGCATCTGGGGCTGTGTAGGCAGGGAGAGGGGATCCAAAGTGTGAGCGCTACATGGATGGAATGGTCCAACCTTCCTCCCCTCACAGTCCTATGGGCCTCCGCCCAGCATCCGCCCCCAATGGTAAACGACCACCCCCATTCCCATGGAGAAGTGCTGTCCCCATTCAGCCCCCACTCCAATAACAAAAGGCCATTCCCATCCCTCCCCGTCTCCACCGCCACTCACCCAGCCCCTGCCCCCATGGTGAGGTGACACCCTCACTACTCACCTGGCCCCCCATCCTAATAGATAGATAACACTCCCATCACCCAGCCAGCCCCCCAATGGAGAAGCACCCCTGTCACTCAGCCAGCCCCTACCCCCAATGGAGAGATGCCCCCGTCACCCAGCCAACCCCCAGCCCTCCCAGTGGAGAAGCACCCCCATTACTCAGCTAGTCCCCGCTCCCCCAGTGGAGAAATGCCCCTGTCACACAGCCATCCCCCAGCCCACAGTGGAGAGGAGCCTCCGTCACTCACCCAGCTCCCCATTCTCAAGGGCCTCGAAGGTCAGCCAGATGTCCAGGCTCGCTGACACGTTGCGCATCTCCAGTACCTGATTGGTCAGCTCCTCCGCCGTCATGGTAGGTGACACCTATGGGGAGCGCAGAGATCAGCTCGTGCCCAGTCTCCACCCCAGGCCAAGGACTGGCCTGAGCCCTCTAGGCACCACCGAGTCTGTTGGCAGCAGGATGGGAATTAGCAAGAGAGAGGCATGCCCAGGCGGACCCTGGACTTCAGAAAAGCAGACTTTGACTCCCTCAGGGAACTGATGGGCAGGATCCCCTGGGAGAATAACATGAGGGGGAAAGGAGTCCAGGAGAACTGTCTGTATTTTAAAGAATCCTTACTGAGGTTGCAGGAACAAACCATCCCGATGTGTAGAAAGAATAGTAAATACAGCAGGTGACCAGCTTGGCTTAACAGTGAAATCCTCAGTGATCTTAAACACAAAAATGAAGCTTACAAGAAGTGGAAGCTTGGACAAATGACTAGGGAGGAGTATAAAAATATTGCTCAGGCATGCAGGAGTGAAATCAGGAAGGCCAAATCACACTTGGAGTTGCAGCTTGTTAAGGGTAACAAGAAGGGTTTCTACAGGTATGTTAGCAACAAGAAGGTGGTCAGGGAAAGTGTGGGACCCTTACTGAATGGGGGAGGCAACCTAGTGACGGAGGATGCGGAAAAAGCTAATGTACTCAATGCTTTTTTTGTCTCTGTCTTCACGAACAAGGTCAGCTCCCAGACTACTGCACTGGGCAGCACAGTATGGGGAGGAGGTGACCAGCCCTCTGTGGAGAAAGAAGTGGTTCAGGACTATTTAGAAAAGCTGGACGAGCACAAGTCCATGGGGCTAGATGCGCTGCATCCGAGAGTGCTAAAGGAGTTGGCGGATGTGAGTGCAGAGCCATTGGCCATTATCTTTGAAAACTCATAGCGATCGGGGGAGATCTCGGATGACTGGAAAAAGGCTAATGTAGTGCCCATCTTTAAAAAAGGGAAGGAGGAGGATCCGGGGAACTACAGGCCAGTCAGCCTCACCTCAGTCCCTGGAAAAATCGTGGAGCAAGTCCTCAAGGAATCAATTTTGAAGCACTTCGAGGAGAGGAAAGTGATCAGGAACAGCCAGCGTGGATTCACCAAGGGCAAGTCATGCCTGACTAATCTAATTGCCTTCTGTGATGAGATAACTGCCTCTGTGGATATGTTATTCCTTGACTTTAGCAAAGCTTTTGATACGGTCTCCCACAGTATTCTTGCCAGCAATTTAAAGAAGTATGGGCTGGATGAAGGACTATAAGGTGGATAGAAAGCTGGCTAGATCATCTCAATGGGTCGTGATCAATGGCTCCATGTCTAGTTGGCAGCCAGTATCAAGCGGAATGCCACAAGGGTCAGTCCTGGGGCCGGTTTTGTTCAATATCTTCATTAATGATCTGGAGGATGGCGTGGATTGCACCCTCAGCAAGTTTGCAGATGACACTAAACTGGGAAGAGTGGTAGATACGCTGGCGGGTAGGGATAGGATAGAGGGACCTAGACAAATTAGAGAATTGGGCCAAAAGAAATCTGATGAGGTTCAACAAGGACAAGTGCAGAGTCCTGCACTTAGGATGGAAGAATCCCATGCACTGCTACAGACTAGGGACCGAATGGCTCGGCAGCCATTCTGCAGAAAAGGACTGACGGGTTACAGTGGACAGGAAGCTGGATAGGAGTCAACAGTGTGCCCTTGTTGCCAAGAAGGCTAACAGCATTTTGGGCTATATAAGTATGAGCATTGCCAGCAGATTTGGCACTGGTGAGACCTCATCTGGAGAACTGTGTCCAGTTTTGGGCCCCACACTACAAGAAGGATGTGGAAAAATTGGAAAGTGTCCAGCGAAGGGCAACAAAAATTATTAGGGGGCTGGAACACATGACTTATGAGGAGAGGCTGAGGGAACTGGGATTATTTAGTCTGCAGAAGAGAAAAATCAGGGAGTTTGATAGCTGCTTTCAACTACATGAAAGGGGGTTCCAAAGAGGATGGTCTAGACTGTTCTCAGTGGTAGCAGATGACAGAACAAGGAGCAATGGTCTCAAGTTGCAGTGGGGGAGGTATAGGTTGGATATTAGGACACACTATTTCACTAGGAGGGTAGTGAAGCACTGGAATGCGTTACCTAACGAGGTGGTGGAATCTCCTTCCTTAGGAGTTTTTAAGGTCAGACTTGACAAAGCCCTGGCTGGGATGATTTAGTTGGGGATTGGTCCTGCTTTGAGCAGGGGGTCGGACTAGATGACCTCCTGAGTCCTTTCCAACCCTGATATTCTATGATTTTATGATCTCCGAACCCTGCAGGGCAGCTCCGGCCCCCTGAAGGTTCCCTCCCAGCGGACAGCGAGGCCGGAACACTGAGGGTGGGCGATGCAGCTGCCCTGCCTGAGCCATGGCTGCAGCCAAGACATACTCACTCACCTTCAGGGTGACACAGCAGTCGGGCAGCTTCTGCTCCAGGTAAACCTCAATGATGAGATCTCCAGCCTGAGAGAGCTGCGGGGAGAGACGGCAGAGGGTGGGCAAAGCCTGGGCCAAGTGCTGGACTGGGAGGCTGGCATCGGTGCGGCTGAGCCAGCAGCTCACAGCATCTGCCTGCAGGGAGCTGAGGAAGGGGCTGCTTGCGTCCAGAGTGGCTGCATGCTGTGACCGGTGCCGGGGGTGAGAAGGGTGGGGGTTACAAAGCAGGTTGGGGGCCCCACCCACCTGGGAGAGGGACCAGGAGAGCGAGGGCCTGGGGCAGGGCGATGGGGGGAGGCAGGGCCCTTTCCTGTTCCTGGGGAGGCCTCGTAAGAGATTATCTCATTGCAGAGTGAACACAGGGCCCATTGTGTGGCTAGGGCAGCCCATGCTGGAGCTGGGATCCATGCAGGGACAGCAGGACTTGCAGCTAGGGCAGGGGTGGGCAAAATTTTTGGGCCAAGGGCCACATCTGGGTGGGGAAATTGTATGCAGGGCCGGGGCAGGGGGTGGGCGTGCGGGAGGGAGTGCGGGAGGGGGTGCAGTGTGCAGGAACGGGCTCAGGGCAAGGGATTGGGGCAGAGGAGGTGTGGGGTGTATGAGGGGACTCAGGGAAGGGGGTTGGGGTGCAGGAGGGGTGCAGAGTGCAGGATGGGGCTCAGGGCAGGGGTGTAGGAGGGGTGCAGACTGTGGGAGGGAGCTCAGGGCAGGGGGTTGGGTGAAGGAGGGGGGTGGGGTGCAACAGGGGGCTCAGGGCAGGGAGTTGGGCTGCAGGAGGGGTTCGGGCTCCAGCTTAAAAGCGGCTTCGGGGTGGCAGCGGTGTGCACCGGGGCCAGGGCAGGCTCCCTGCATGCCTGCCCTGGCCCCATGCCACGCTGCTCCGGGAAGCAGCCCCCACTCAGAAGCGGCCGGCACTGCGTGGCAAGGGCAACGCACAGAGCCCTCTGCCCTACCTCCTCCAAACCGCAGGGACGTGGTGCTGGCCAATTCTGAGAGAGGCGCGGGGCCTGCGGCACCACGGGGGGGCAATCCCATGGGCCGGATCCAAAGTCCTGAGGGGCCGGATCCGGCCTGCGGGCTGTAGTTTGCCCACCCCTGAGCTAGGGGCCTGTGCTGGGCTGCTCTCCAGCTGTCTGCCTCCACCATGGAAGCTCACCGATGTCCATGGGCCCAGGCAGAGGCCGATGGACAAATCAGCAGTAGGATCCAAGATATGGGGAGTGCATGGAGTGAGTACCTGCACATCCCTCCAGGTGGTGATGAGGCTGTTCTCTAGATCCATCTGCGACACCTGGTCCTCGTCAATCTAGCGGGCAAGAGAAGGGATGTGAGGTGCAGGAGGGAGAGGAGACAGTCCTGGGGGAGGCAGGGCGAGTGGGGGGCTTACGTTGAAAATGCGGACATAGTTGTCAATCAGGTCCTCCATCACCTTGACCTCATCCCCTTTGCCATCTGTCTGGAAAAGGCTGGGAGCAAAGAGCAGTGACAGGTTCTTGGTGTTCATCTGATTGAAGTCAGCACATTTCTGCACGCTGCAAGCCGGGGCAGAGAGAGAGAGAGAGAGAGAGATTTCTGAGCGTGTGCCCAGCAGCCCCAGCATGGGATGAGGCTGGGCCGCTCAGGACCACCCACCCAGCTGCTGGAGTCAGGCAGAACTTCTTGTTCTAAACCTTTTTCTAACTTCCATGAAAAAAAAGGTCACAGGGTTATGAAATTTTCCACTTTTCTCATCAAAACATAAAACTAAAAACTTTAATTTCAACACTTTGAATGTCAAGTTTTTGGCCTTTTGTTCCCCCTTTTGGTCACTGAATGCACTTGAACGTGCAATGGCCTCAGAGTGGGTTTCCCCTACTTCCTCCAATTTCTCTCTGTGTTCATTGTAACATTTCCACCTTGAGAAAAGTCACATAGCAGCAAAGGGCAGAATTGACTGGTATCTGGCTGCTCCGTGATTCCTCTGGCATCAGGAAAGTTTTGAAAAGTTACAAAGTAATAAAAGGAAGATGGAAAGAAGATGAAAGTGTGAAGCCCCAACTGTGGGACATCCACCATTTTCTGGCAAAATGGAACCAGAAGATAACAACTGGGGAGAAAGGAGGAAAAAACCTCACGAAGATTACAGAATGCTAACCCTGTAAACTGGTCTGTGCCGACCTCTGAGAAATGCAGACAAGTCACCTTCATTTGCACAATTGCTTGCCATTTTTTGCTGCCAGAGGGAAGGCCCAGCCCCAGGCTTACTGCATGGTCCTCCCAGCCTTTCTATACGGCTCAGAGACAGGGGGGTGTCCCAGGGCCATTTGTCAAACTCTGTCCCTGGATCACCCCCCGCTGGCACTGGCCTCTCCGTATCCCCGGGGGACCCAGAGACCCTGAAGCTGAGTGGGAAGTGAAGGGGGCAGACAGTGGACACAGCATGTCTGGACTGAACCATGTCAGCTGGTGACGCTCCCCCGATTTCCTGGACCATGCTGTTCCCTGAAGAAGTGACATATGCACGCTGCCCAAGGAGGGACAGACTGACCGGTAGAGGTGACCAATCAGAGCAGCCAGTGTCCTGCGGTTGAGGCGGGGCAGGCGGTTGATCAACTCCTTGTAGCGCTCCAGCCGTTGGGACTTCAGGGCTATTGCTGGAGGAAGCAGACCGTCACAAACACAACACTGCGCAAAGGCACAACTACCATCACCAGGCATGAGCCGCTAGCCCCAGGCCATGCACGGACTGGCAGGGAGCTGTGCCCCAACTTACCCACACTCACACCAATCACCCAGCCCCTCGTGGGGCCAATGCTCCAGGTCAGACTGGCATGATTCCCACCCTCTGTGCATTGGCGCAAATGATGGAGCCAGGGGCAGGGGAGAATGGGGCCCAGAGCGCCCCCCACCAGCGGAGCTCAGCACTGGGCTGGCCTAGGTCTGTTCCTGGCATGTGGTTGGTGGCAGGAGAAGGGGCATCAGGGTGAGAGGGAGCCCAAGGCAGAGAACAGCTGCTGCATGGTGAGGGTGGGGGGACAGCAAGGAGATGAGTACCCGCAGCCTCCTTCCACTGGGGGTGCAGCTCCGAAGTGAAAACAGGGTCCTCGAGCTCCCGGAAGAATCTCTTCAGCACGTCGGTCACATCCTCGATGAAGTTGTCACTGATGCGCAGCTTGACGTTGCGGGCATCCCTGCGGAACTGCTCCATAAGCACCTTGATCCGGGACTTGGCCCCATTCTTCCGGTAAATACCTTCATGTCGCAGCCCTGCGGGCAGAGCAAGAGAGAGACCATGTCATGGGAGCCGCGTGCTAAAGGGGGAGCCCGGATCAGCACCACCAATGCAGGGGTGGCGCAGGTAGCGGACTAATGGGAAGCCCAGAGTGTGCCCTCCCAGCTCTAGATCACTCAGTGTGTGTGTGCGGTGGTTGGGGGTGGTGTAAGCAGGTAGATCATAGAGTGCCCTCCACGGCCCAGATCAGTGTGTGTGTGTGGGAACTCAGAGTGTACCCTTGCAGGCCCTGATCAGTGTGTGTAGCTCGGAGTGTATCCTCGCAGGGCCAGATCAGTGTGTTTGTGGGGGTCGGGGGGAAGCTCAGAGTGTACCCTCACAGGCCCTGATCAGTGTGTGTGGGGGGGGTAGGAAATGGGGGGAGATAGATGGGAGTATGCCCTTGCAGCCTGCTCCCAGTGGGTGCCCCATGCCAACTTGGGAGATGCCTGACGGACAAGTGGCAGCTCTGCACTCCCCCCCTGAGGTGATGCCACCTGCCTCACAGGAGAACGCGGCACAGGGCTCCTGGCAGCACTGCCAGTACCCAACAGGAGGTGCCAGGCCATCCCTGAGCAGAGGGGCTCACCGTATTGGGTGATGAAGGCAATGCAGCTGTCCACGAGGATGGGGATGTCGCTCCTGCTGAGCTGCTGGTCGCGCAGGGCGTTGCCCCGTCCCCCTGCCGAGGCCTGGATGTCCGTGCACCATGCTGCAAAGTCCATCCGCGACACCCCCTGCAGGTAAAAGGTCCTGAGGACAGGTGTGACGTTATTAATATAACCTGTGACTGCATAGATCATTGGTGCAACCACTGTTATATATTTGCAGCAAATATTGTACAAAGGTGTCTATGGAAAGATTATGATTTGCTAATTATGATTATGCTACCTGTAGGTGTGTCTCATTTTTGTAGTTGAAGTTATGAATATTGGCTATGTACTTGTCTATCAGTGTGTTTTGATTCTGAAGTAGCCTTAGTAAAGCATTTGGCCAGCTTCTTGAGAAAGGAATTTGCAAATTAAATGTCCAATCAAGAAACACTTAACTGACAATGGGCCTTGGAAGACTCCAATCCCCATAAAAAGTCTTCCTGGGGACGTTCAAGATAGCATGTGAACAATGGCTGCCGCCTCTAAAGAACTGAGTCATACATGGATATGTGACTTGCCCATGTGACTCCAAACTCCATTTTGCTGTAATTTTCCACAGCAAGAACAAAGAGGTGTTCTTACACCTGGAAGAGACTAAAAAAGGCAGCTGCCTCATCTCCATCTTGTCTTCAATCCTGCTTCTTACCTCTGTAGGGCCTTCGCTACAAACTGAAGCTCTGAACAAAGGACTGAATGACCCATCCCTGTTGTGGATGTACTCCAGAGACTTGATTTCAGCCTGCAGTTTATTCTATCACTGCTGCAAGCCTGAACCAAGAACTTTGCCATGACTGTATGTAATTGATTCCATTTAACCAATTCTAGCTCTCATCTATATTTCTTTCTTTTTATAAATAAACGTTTAGATTTTAGATTCTATAGGATTGGCAACAGCGTGATTTGTGGGTAAGATCTGATTTGTATATTGAGCTGGGTCTGGGGCTTGGTCCTTTGGGATCGGGAAAACCTTTTACCTTTTACTGAGGTATTGCTTTGCATAACCATTTGTCCCCATAACGAGTGGCACTGGTGGTGATACTAGGAAACTGGAGTGTCTAAGGGAATTGCTTGTGTGACTTGTGGTTAGCCAGTGGGGTAAAACCAAAGTCCTCTCTCTTTGGCTGGTTTGGTTTGCCTTGGTGTGCAAAGGAACCCCAGCCTTGGGCTGTAACTGCCCTGCTTTAAGCAATTTGTCCTGAATTGGCACTCTCAGTTGGGTCCCACCAAAGCCAGCATCGTTACAACAGGGCAGAGAGCAGGAGGTGAAACACAGCTGGGTACACAGCACAGGGCTGACTCACACAGCATCCCCAGCTCCCTTCCTGCCCCCGGCATGCCCCATTGCCCTGGTGCAGGCACGGGAGAGCTGGCTGGCCCAGGAGCCTGGCTCCTCCGCCAGACACAGACCTGTCCATAGGCACTGCCCCCGCCCGAGCCTCAGGGGGCAGGGCAGACATTTAGGGGAGACCCGGGGGACGTAGCTTAGAGCGTAGCCTCCTAGGCCCATATCAGCTAATCCCAGTGGGGTTAAGAGCAATGCAGGGAATTAGACAAAAGGAAAATCTAGGCTGAGTCTCAGGGTGCCCCTCGTGGTGACGGGCCCCACTGCATGGCTGTTCAGCCTGCGCTGGCCCAGCAAACACAGCACTGCTCCCATCCCGGGGCAAGGATTAGATCCCGCCCGCCCCCATGTGGGCTCAGGCAGACTCCTCTCCCCGAGCTGTGCTCAGACTCCGTTCCCTGGAAGTCCACTGACCAGGCTGTCTGTATGTTTATTCACCCCCAGGCTTAGTCTGTCCAGACCCTGGGCCAGTAACACCTCCTTGCAGGCAGGAGGTGCTGCTCATCTGTGTCATGTCCTGGCAGAGCTCACCTCCCCATCTCCACCAGGATCAGCACCTCCTTCTTCTCAGGAGTCTCAGTGAGGGGCACCACACCTGCACAGGAGCAAATGGAGACTTTAGACGCAAATCCTACCCAGAGGCCAGGGAGAGACCTTGGGAGCTGTGCTGGGCCCACACTGGGCCCCCCAGGGCAGCTAGAAGGATCCCCGAAGCTTTACATACTGTGTACATGCAATCGCTGACCCAGCACTGGAATGCAGCACCGCTGGGGTGGGGCATGGCTGGTAGTGAACAGCGCTCGGCCACACAGCACAGGGCTCACTGACCCAGCACCGCAATGCAGTCCCTCTGGGGTGGGGCACAGCTGCTGTTTCCCACAGTTGGGACGGGCAAAGGCTGTACTCACTGAGCTCCTGCAGCCTCCGGAGGTTGATGCTGTCCTCGGCTGCGCCCTCCTCCCCTGGGCAGAAGAACAGGTGGGCTTTCTGCAGAATGAAGAAGCCCTGCAGCCACTGCTCAGGGCTGAGCATGGATCTGTAGTGCAACCGCCCCACTCTCTGGAACTCGTAGCCCAGCAGGCAGTGACAGCTGAGCGGTGTGAACCACTGCATGGGACGGAGAGACCGGTTAGATCCAGGCTGAGCGCAGGGTGAGGGCATCACAGAGGGCTGTACCCCAGGTTGGGTGGCTGTGGGTGGGGACAGGAACTGGGGGAAGGACTATGCCCTGCATTGTGGATGGAGCCAGGCAGAACACTATACCCTGCGTGTGTGTGTGTAAGGGGGCAGTGCCAGGGCGGAGGGCTATGCCCCATGTGGCAGGCAGGAGGGATGCTGATTGGATCCTGCACACACACCCCTGCCAGCAGCATGCCAATGTGGGGGAGGGTCTGTCATGCCAGGGAGATGAGGCAAGTTAGTGCTGCAGCTCTCAGCAGCTGCTTCCCAGCCTGGCCCATGGAAGAGGCTGGTACTGCTGGGTGCAGTGCCACACTGGGCCTGTGCCCTGGGTGACTGTGTCACACACCTTGCCGATGGCGCTGGCCCAGGCCTGCAGGGTGTCTGGCCCATCAGCTCCCAGCTGCTGCACTTTGTCACCACTCAGGAAGAGCTCCAAAGTGAAGCGAAACCTGTAGACGAAGGCAAAAGCATGAGGGGGGCAGGGCTCCCACAGCAGCCCAGTGCCCTGCCCACCACAGCCCTTGCACTCTGGTTCAGCAGTGAAAGTGACCCTTCCTGAGGCTGCGCCGTACTGAGCTCTGCTGCATGGAGGCCAAGGCCCTGAGGACTGGCCCTGCTCATGGGGCTCGCTAGGCCCAGGGCGCAAGGCCAGCAGGTGGCCGGAGGGCAGCAGGCCCTTCCAAATGGCCCAGCTTTAGCTGCCTCCCCACACACAGGAGCCAGAGCGCAACTTCCCCAGGCAGCAGAAGCAGGGGGCCCAGGGTCACTAGGTAGCTTTCACTGGGACATCTGCAGCACCAAGCAGCAGACCCAAGCAGTCAGGGGTTGGGCCCAGTGGGGCGAACTCAGAGGGCCTGGCTATGGAGAAGCAGGGAGCTGGCTGCAGGGACTCAGCAGGCCTGACCCCTGCACCACAGTCCCTTCAGCATAAGGGCATAGTGCCCCTTCACTGCTAATCTCCCTCCCTCCCCAGTGCATGTCCGCAGAACTGCTTGGACCCCAAGGTGGTTGCCTGCCTCTCCCTGCAGGGCAGCCCCATGCCCAACACACTGCCTGCACCCAGTGCCTGGGGGTCTGGCTGCCTCTGATCCGCTTGCCACATGGGGGCCCCAACAATGGACTGCATCCTGGGGGATTTCGGGGAGTAACCTGACTGTGCTCCAGCCAGGGTGCCGACTGAGGTGGGAGAAGGTGGGCATGCGCCAGGGTGTGGACGGGGAAGGGGCATGTCCCTTCGGGGCAAGGTACCTGTCTGGAGGTCCAGGACTGGCCAGTTCATCTGCTCTGCTCACGCCCAGCGAGACCATGTCAGCCAGCTCAACCTTCCCCACTGACTCAGCACATTTGTCAGTCTCATAGAAGAGGAGAGACTTCTCCAGGGAGCACCAGACGCGGTGCAGTTCTGCAGGGAACACACTGTCAGCAAGAGCAGGTCCCTGACGTACCAAGCAGCCTCTCTCCATCCTAGCCACCATGGGACCTGGCCCATACCTACCATCTCTGCTCTTCCTGGTGCCGGAGAGCTTGGAGAGGGCTGGTGCTTTGTAGAGGTAGCCACTGTGCACCACGGGCTGGGTGATCTCATTGTAGACCCCTTCCAGACTTGGCTCCTGAGCGCTGGGGCTCCCTGCCAAACACAATAACCTAAGAACGGCCATACTGGGTGTGACATTATTGACATGAACTGTGACCATACAGATCGTTGTTGCTGGCACCAGGTCTTGTACAGAGGAGGTCAAGTGGAGTGTCTATGGAAAGGTTGTAGTTTGCAGGTTATGATTATGCTATCTGTATGTGTGTATCATTTTTGTAGTTGAAGTTATCAATATTGGCTATGTACTGGTCTCTTAATGTGTTTGACTCTAAGTAGCCTCAGTGAAGCATTTGGTCTGCTTCTTGAGAAAGGACTATTCTCAGTAAGTGCCCAATCAAGAAACACTTAACTGACAATGGACTTTGGGAGATGCCAATCCATATCTGAGCTTTTCTGGGAACGTTCAAACTAACATGTATACAATGGCGTTGGCCTGCAAAAAGCTGAATCATTCATGGACATGGGACTTGCCCAGGTGGCTAAAAAGTCCATTTTGTTGCTGTGATTTTGCACAAGAGAACAAAAAGGGTTTCCGCCCACAAGGAGAGAATATAAAAGGCCCTGGAAGCCTTTCCTTTTTGTCTTCAACTGGCTTAAGAGATAGCCTCTCCACCCCCAAGAGATGCCTGAAAGAAACTGGAACAAAGGACAGTAACTACGGGGGTGTGAGTGATTGCTGGACCCAAACTAGGAAGGAGTCCAGTCTGTGAAAGAAGCTTATTGGAACATCTCTGAGGGTGAGATTTACCTGTACAGTAACTCCTCACTTAACGCTGTAGTTATGGTCCTGAAAAATGCAACTTTAAGTGAAATGATGTTAAGTGAATCAAATTTCCCCGTAAGAATGAATGTGATGGGGGGGGGGTTTAGGTTCCAGGGAATTTTTTTTTGCCCTACAGTACAGTCCAGTACTATAGTTGGGAGGGGCCCCCGCCTTACCCCACACAGGCACAGCCCACTGGCACTGCAGGCAGTGAGGCAGGCAAGGAGGCAGAAGGTGCTGTAGGCTAGGAGAAGCACGTTGCGCAGGGGCAGCTTCCCCTACTCTGCAAGCACCAGGGGCAGGGGGCTAAACCCTCGGCCCGCCTACTCCACCCCTTCCCCCAAGTCCCCACCCTTATCCTCCCTCCTTTACTCCGCATGCCGCATCCTCGCTCCTCCCCCCTCCCTCCTGCCCGCGGCAATCAGCTGGCTTGGGACGTTCAGGGGATAGGAGGGACGGGGGAGGAGCGAGGACGCGGTACGCAGCCTCCCCCCCTCCGTCTTCTGCCTGCAGCAATCAGCTGGTTTGTGGTGTTCAAGAGGCGGCGGGGGAGGGGAGCCTACATGCTGTGTCTTCACTCCTCCCCCCCTCCCTCCTGAACGCCGCAAGCCAGCTGATTGCCGCGGGCAGGAGGCGGGGTGAGGAGTGGGAGGGTGCAGGGGAGCTGATGGGGGGCTGCCAGCTGTGGACAAAGCAGGCTGCCAAACGACGTTACAGCGAAGCACTGCACAACTTTAAATGGAGCATATTCTATAATTGAGCAGGGACATAAGATTGAAACAACGTTAATCGAGAGGACGTTAAGTGGGGAGTTACTGTATGCAGTTTCTTAATGTATTGGTCTTAGACTTGTGTGTTTTGTTTTATTTTTTTTTGGTAACTTACTTTGTTCTATTACTTGGCATCACTTAAATCCTACTTTTTATACTTAATAAAATCATTTTTGCTTATTATTGAACCCAGAGTTAGTGACTAATACTTGGGGGAGCAAACAGCTGTGCATATCTCTCTATTAGTGTTATAGAGGATGGACAATTTATGAGTTTATACTGTATAAGATTTATACAGAGTAAAATGAATTCATTTGGGGTTTAGGCTCCCAGAAAGACTGAATACTGGGGTCTGGGAAAGTCTCTGTTAACTAAGAAACTCCTGAGCTGAGTGGATCTCAGTTTCAGTGAACTGCAGGGGGGCGTGGCCCATGCTTTTGGTCTGTGCTGTAACTGACTGGAGTGTCTTACTCAATAAGACAAGAGTGGAGGGAAGCCTTCTCTGGCAGGGGGGTTTGTTTTCAGTGGTATCCCAGCACATCTAGTGACAGTCTAGTCACATCTAGTGACCAGACTGTGACCAGAATTGCATGCAGTATTCAAAGTGTGGGCGTACCATGGATTTTACTCCTGAGGGCATTCTGCACGGAAATATTAAAAATTATGCTCACAATATTTTAAAATTCTACAAATGTTATCTGTCAAATAAATGTGAAGGCTCCAGCATGGCATTGGGGAGCACAGGCTACTGGCTGCGCTGAGGTGGGAGATCACTGTGCAACTCCCCCCCCGGGACATGGACTCAGTGGTGAGGCTGCACCCAATCCTGACACAGCACAAGGACTGGGCCTGCTCCAGAAACATCCCAGGGCCCTGCCCCTCCATGCCAGGTGCACCAGGTAGGGGCAGACAGGCTCAGCAAAGCAGGATCCAAGTGTGGAGGTGTTTAGTGTGGGAGGATCCAGGTGTGGGTTGAGAGCAGGGGCGGGCAAACTTTTTGGCCTGAGGGCCGCATCGGGTTTCTGAAATTGTATAGAGGGCCAGTTGGGGGAGGCTGTGCCTCCCCAAACAGCCAAGCATGGCCTGGCCCCTGCCCCCATCTGACCCCCCCTGGTTCTCGCCCCCTGACAGCCCCCTTGGTACTCCTGCCCCATCCAACCCCCCTGTTCCCTGACAGCCCCCCAGGGACCCCTACCCCATCCACCCCTCACTCTCCGTCCCCTGACCGCCCCCGGACTCCCCACCCCTAACTGCCCCCCAGCCACCCCATCAAACCCCCCCTCTCCTTCCTGACTACCCCCCCCCCCGGGACCCCTGCCACATCCAACCACCCCTTGACCCTGTCCCCTGACTGCCCCCGGAATCCCTGCCCCTGACTGCTCCCCACCACCCAATCCAACCCCCCTCTCCTTCCGGAATGCCCCCCCTGGGACCCTTGCCCCCATTCAACCACCCTGTTCCCCGCCCTCTGACTTCCCCATCCACACCCCTGTCCCCTGACAACCACCCCCAAACTCCCGTGCCCTCTAGCCAACCCTCCCTGCTCCCTGCCTCCTTACCGCGCTCCCTGGAGCACCGGTGGCTGGCGGCGCATCAGGACAGACAGCCGCGCCTTCTGGCTGGAGCCAGCCTTGCACCGCGCAGCACAGAGCACCGGGTCAGGCCGGACTCTGCAGCTGTGCTGCCCCAGGAGCTCACTGCTCCACCAGCCAGAGCATTGCGCCGGCGGAGCAGTGAGCTGCGGCTGCGGGGGAAGGGGGAACACAGGGGAGGGGCCGGGGGCGAGCCTCCCAGGCCAGGAGCTCATGGGCCAGGCAGGCTGGTCCCATGGCCGGATGTGGCCCACGGGCTGTAGTTCGCCCACCTCTGGTTGAGAGGGTTCTGTGTGGGGCAATCTGGGTGCAGGTGGCTCAGTGGGGGATCCAGGTGTAGGGGGGCGATCTGGATGCACATGGGCTTGTTGGACGGTTCTGGGTGCAATGGTAATAGGACTCTGCAGGGGGGTCCAGGTGAAGGTGGTTAGGGGTCAGCGGGGGGCGGGTCTGGGTGTGGGGGGGATCAGTGGGGGGTTCCAGATGCTGGGGGAGTGGGGCTCAGTGGGGTTGGGATCCATGTGCAGCTGGTTGGGGTTCGGTAGGGTGGGGATTCGGGTGTAGGTGGCTTGTCAGGGTGGTCCAGGGGGAGTGGGCTCATCAGAGGGGGTTCTGGGTGTGAGGGAGTCTGCATGCATGGGGATTGGGTGGATGGGGGAGCTGCTCACAGTATAGTGATACCTCGCCCTGCAGCTCAGGAGCGATAGGCGCAGGAAGCGTGTGGCGGGGGTTGGGGGGAGAGTTTGCAGAGCTTCCTACAGCCAGAAGAGAAATCTGGGGGTGGGTCTGACATGGCCCTGAATGCCGTGCAGGGAAAGAGGAAGTTCCATCCTCCTCAGCCCAGCTGGGACTAGCAGCTGAGCTTGGCACAGGGTAGGAGCCACCAGTCAGGTCTTCTCCAGTCCCGCCCCCTGCCCCACAGTGATTTACCTCTCTGCCGGCTGCCCTGGGCACCTGAAACATACTGCTGGGGAGGGTTGAATGACAGCTCTTGTGGCTTCCATTTGCTTCCCTGTCAGAAAGTCATTTTTCTGCAGGGAAGCAAAGAAATCTGCAGGGGACATAAATTTTGCACAGTGGTGCAGAATTCCCCCAGGATTTATATAGTGGCATTATGATATTTACTGTCTTATCATCTATCCCTTTCCTTATGGTTCCTAACATTCTGTTAGCTTTTTTGATTACTGCAGCACAATGAGCAGAAAATTTCAGAGAACTATCCACAATGACTCCAAGATCTCTTTCTTGAGGGACAACAGCTAATTTAGATCCCATCGTTTTGGTATGTATAGTTGGGATGATGTTTTCCAATATGTATTACTTTGCATTTATCAACATTAAATTTCATTTGACATTTTGTTTCCCAGTTATACAGTTTTGTGATGTCCCTTTGTAACTCTTTGCAGTCTGCTTTGGACTTAACTATCTTGAGTAGTTTTGTATTGTCTTCAAATTTTGCCATCTCACTGTCTGCCCCTTTTTCCAGATTATTTATATTGAACAGCATTGGTCACAGTGCAGATCCCTGGGGGACACCACTATTTAGCTTTCTCCATTCTGAAAACTGACCATTTATTCCCACCCTGTTTCCTGTCTTTTAACCAGTTACTGATCCATGAGAGGACCTTCCCTCTTATCCCGTGACAGCTTACTTTGCTTAAGAGCCTTTGGGGAAGGACCTTGTCAAAGGCTTTCTGAAAGTCCAAGTACACTATATCCACTGGATCCACGTTGTCCACATGCTTACTCATGCCCTCAAAGAATTCCAATAGATTGGAGAGGCATGATTTACCTTTACAAAAGATGTGTTGACCCTTCCCCAACACACTGCAGAGAGTAGCAGAGCAAAACCTGTGGTTGCCTTGACCCCATGGAAACATTGCCACGTCGCTGGGGTTGGGCGGTGACCCTGGGAAGGTCAGTGGCATAGAGACCAATGGTCCAAGTGTGGGGAAGGGGTGTGTTCCAAAAGCAGTGTGTTCCATGTGACACTGGGAGATTCCAGGTGGGGCAGGGTGGGTTCCATGTGGGGCAGTGGGGTTCCAGGGGAGGTGAAGTTCTGTGTTGGCAGGGGGTTTCCGGGGATGGTGGGTTGCCTGCGGAGCAGAGAGTCCCCTGTGCAGGACACAGGGGGCTCACAGGCATCCCTCTCAGTCTGCCATGGCTCAAAGGTGGGCACAATGTGGGATAATGACAAAGCTGGCCCCTGCGGGACCTGGAGAACTGTGGGTTCGGCCCCTTGGGATGACTGGCTCTGGCCAGAGCCTCAGCCTCACGGTTCTCTTCTGATGCCCCTGACATTCCATGGGAAAATGGGTGGCACAACTTTGCCAACGCTGAGGGCAGCAGGACCAGAATGGGCAGGGGCAGGGGAGGAGGCAGTGACAGATAAGCCACCCCCATTACTGCTGTGGGGTAGGGGGCTCTGGGATCTCCATTTACCTGGATGGTTCCCATGCCTGCTGCTCTCAGGGGTCTGCCAGAGCTCGGTTCCCTGCGACCCGTCGCAGCCCCCTGTGTCAGCTGCCATCCCGGCTTCAGTGGCAGAGAAGAAATGCAGGATCGTCTTCAGCAGGCTGGGCCCTGCCACAGCAGCACAGAGCGCCTGGGGCAAGAGACACGATCAGATCCCTAGCCTTGGCACACCCGCTGTCCACGGACACCTGGCTTCCAGCTCAGGGGCAGGAGGGGGAGCAATGCAGGCATGTGTGTGTGCCCACACAGAAGGCCAGATCTATCCTGCCCATCCCCATGGCTTCTGAACCCCTGCCACAAGTGCAGGAGGGAGCATTGGGTCAGTAAGGGAGTTCACTGTGCTCTCCAGAGCCTGTGCCACTGCCCCAGGACCGTCCAAGCCCAGTCTGCCGATTACCTGCAGCACGTCAACCTGGGAAGGGTAGCGGGGGTGTGGGCGGCGGTACCGCCCGTCGCGGTATTTGTGAGTGATGAAGACCTGTCTCTGCTCCGTGCTGGCATCTGGGTAGAGGGCCTCAGAGGGCGGGAGGCGCGCGGCCCAGAACCGGTTCGCTCGCTCGTTTCCCAGCATGATGAACAGCTGAATGAAAGCGCAGAGTCACTGGGGAAGGGGGCAAGATAGCACTGGGGGATTCTGTGGGTTGTTGAGGGGGGACATTGTAAGCGCCTGGAGGGGGCTGGGTGTCAGAGATGGATAGGGGATTCCCTGGGGGAATGCTCTGGGTCCTCTCCCCGCTGCCAGGGCATCCCCAGGAAGATCAGCCCCCCACCCCAGACCCCGACTGTGACACACATTTCTGTAATGTCAGCTCTGCCTTGTGGGCGCTGGCTGTGGCAGCACATGGATGGGGGTGAGCAGGGCAGTCTCTGTACCTGGACAATCTCATTGCTCCAGACGCTGGTGTCGAGCTTCAGGCTCTGCACCTTGGACACGCTGGAGCCCAGGCTCCGGTGCTGACCTGTCAGAAGCAGCAGAGAGACTGTGAGCAGCCCGGCTACCCGACCTGGCCAGCCAATCAGCTGCCAACCCATCCACCTGCCCAGCCAGCCAGCCAACCTTTTGACCCAGCCACTCAGCCCCCCACTGACCCGCCAGGCCCCAATACTGACCCACCCACCATCCCACCAACCCGCCTGCCCCATATACTGACCCACCCACCCCCTGCCACCCCACCGACCCGCCTGCCCCATATACTGACCCACCCTCCTCCTGCCATCCCACCGACCCACCTGCCCCATATACTGACCCATCCACCCCCTGCCATCCCACCGACCCATTTGCACCATATACTAACCCAGCCACCCACCATCCCACTGATCTACCTGGCCAATATACTGACCCACCCCCTGCCATCCCACTGACCAATTTGGCCCATACATTGAGCCCCCCCACCATCCCACGAGCCGCCTGCCCCATATATTGACCCACCCGCCACCATCTCACCCCCCCCATATACTGATCCACACACCCACCATCCCTCTGCCACATATATTGACCCATCCACCTGGCCTGCCCATATACTGGCCCACACACCCGCCATCCCACTGACCCACCTGGCCCATATTCTGACCCACCCACTGACCCACCTGGCCAATATACTGACCCATCGACCCACCTGGCCCATATATTGACTCATCCAACCACCCCCTGCCATCCCACCAACGCACCTGCCCATATACTGAATCACTCACCCGCCAGCCCACTGAGCTGCCTGGCCCATATACTGACCCACGTGCCCACCATCCCACCGACCTGCCTAGCCCATATACTGACCCCGCCAATCCACCATTCCTCCGACTCGCCTGGCTCATATATTGACCCACCCACCCGCCATCCCACATTCCTGCCTGGTCAATATACTGACCCGCCAAAGTGGAGCGCAGAATCTGGTCCAAGAGGTAACTATAACAGGACCACTTGGAAATAGTGATCATAATATAACAACATTTAACATTCCTGTGGTGGGAAGAACACCACAACAGCCCAACACTGTGGCATTTACTTTCAGAAAGGGGAACTATGCAAAAATGAAGAGGTTAGTTAAACAGAAATTAAAAGGTATCGTGACTAGAGTGAAATCCCTGCAAGCTGCATGGACAATTTTCAAAGACACCATAATAGAGGCTCAACTTAAATGTATACCCCAAATTAAAAAAAACAGAAAAGAACTAAAAAAGAGCCACCGTGGCTTAACAACCATGTAAAAGAAGCAGTGAGACATAAAAAGGGATCTTTTAAAAAGTGGAAGTCAGATCCTAGTGAGGTAAATAGAAAGGAGCATAAACACTGCCAAATTAAATGTAATAAGAAAAGCCAAAAAGGAGTTTGAAGAACAGCTAGCCAAAACTCAAAAGGTAATAACAAAATGTTTTTTAAGTACATCAGAAGCAGGAAGCCTGCTAAACAACCAGTGGGGCCCCTGGACGATCGAGATACAAAAGGAGCACTTAAAGATGATAAAGTCATCGCAGAGAAACTAAATTAATTCTTTGCTTCAGTCTTCACGGCTGAGGATGTTAGGGAGATTCCCAAACCTGAGCCATCTTTTGTAGGTGACAAATCTGAGGAATTGTCACAGATTGAAGTGACACTAGAGGAGCTTTTGGAATTAATTGAGAAACTTAACAGAAAGAAGTCACCGGGACCAGAAGGCATTCACCCAAGAGTTCTGAAAGAACTCAAATGTGAAATTGCAGAACTATTAACTATGGTTTGTAATCTGTCCTTTAAATCAACTACTGTACCCAATGACTGGAAGACAGCTAATGTAATGCCAATATTTAAGAAAGGCTCTAGAGGTGATCCTGGCAATTACAGACCGGTAAGTCTAACGTCAGTACCGGGCAAATTAGTTGAAAAAATAGTAAAGAATAAAATTGTCAGATACACAGAAGAACATAAATTGTTGCTCAAAAGTCAACATGGTTTCTGTAAAGGGAAATCATGTCTTACTAATCTATTAGAGTTCTTTGAAGGAATCAACAAACACTTGGACAAGGGGGATCCAGTGGACATAGTGTTCTTAGATTTCCAGAGAGGCTTTGACAAGGTCCCTCACCAAAGGCTCTTATGTAAATTAAGTTGTCATGGGATAAGCGGGAAGATCCTTTCATGGATTGAGAACTGGTTAAAAGACAGGGAACAAAGGGTAGGAATAAATGGTACATTTTCAGAATGGAGAGGGGTAACTAGTGGTGTTCCCCAAGGGTCAGTCCTAGGACCAACCCTATTCAACCTATTCATAAAATGATTTGGAGAAAGGGGTAAACAGTAAGGTGGCAACGTTTGCAGATGATACTAAACTACTCAAGATAGTTTAGACCAAAGCAGATTGTGAAGAACTTCAAAAAGATCTCACAAAACTAAGTGATTGGGCAACAAAATGGCAAATGAAATTTAATGTGGATAAATGTAAAGTAATGCACATTGGAAAAAATAACCCCAACTATACATACAATATGATGGGGGCTAATTTAGCTACAACTAATCAGGAGAAAGATCTTGGAGTCATCGTGGATAGTTCTCTGAAGACGTCCACGCAGTGTGCAGCGGCAGTCAAAAAAAGGGAATCAGTAAAAAAGGGATAGAGAATAAGAAGGAGAATATCTTATTGCCCTTATATAAATCCATGGTACGCCCACATCTTGAATACTGCGTACAGATGTGGAACCCTCATCTCAAAAAAGATATACTGGCATTAGAAAAGGTTCAGAAAAGGGCAACTAAAATGATTAGGGGTTTGGAACGGGTCCTATATGAGGAGAGATTAAAGAGGTGAGGACTTTTCAGCTTGGAAAAGAGGAGACAAAGGGGGGATATGATAGAGGTATATAAAATCATGAATGGTGTGGAGAAAGTGAATAAGGAAAAGTTATTTACTTGTTCCCATAATATAAGAACTAGGGGCCACCAAATGAAATGAATGGGTAGCAGGTTTAAAACAAATAAAAGGAAGTTCTTCTTCACTCAGCGCACAGTCAACCTGTGGAACTCCTTGCCTGAGGAGGTTGTGAAGGCTAGGACTATAACAGGGTTTAAAAGAGAACTGGATAAATTCATGGAGGTTAAGTCCATTAATGACTATTAGCCAGGATGAGTAAAGAATGGTGTCCCTAGCCTCTGTTTGTCAGAGGGTGGAGATGGATGGCAGGAGAGAGATCACTTGATCATTACCTGTTAGGTTCACTCCCTTTGGGGCACCTGGTATTGGCCACTGTCGGTAGACAGGATACCTTTGGTCTGACCCAGTATGGCCATTCTTATGAACCGCCATCCCACATGCCTGCCTGGCCCATATACTGACCCACTTACCTGCCTAGCCCATATACTGATCCATCGACCTGCCAACCCACCAACCTGCCTGGCCCATATAGTGACCCACCCGCCACCATCCCACCGATCCACCGGCCCATATACTGACCCCTCCCGCCATCCCACCCACCCACCTGCCATCCCACTGACACTCCTGGCCCATAAATGGACCTGCCCACCCACCATCGCACCAAACTGCCTGCCCCATATACTGACCCACCAACTCCTCCCCACCCGCCTGCCATCCCACCTGCCATTCCTACTGACCCGCTGATCCACCATCCCACCCCAATTGGCCAGTATACCCGCCCACCCAACCACTAACCCATCCACCTGCCATCCCACCTGGCTGATATACCCACCCGGCTAATATACCCACCCAACAACCTATCCAACTGATATACCTGCCCATCCACACACAAACCCACCCAGCTGATATATTTCCTCACCCACTTGCCAACCTGCCTGGCTGATATACCACCCGACCACCTGATATACCCAACCACTGACCCGCGCAGCCGATATACCAACCCGCCTACACACTGACACATCCAAGCAGATATACTGCCCCGCCCAGTCATTATACCCACTCACCAACCCGCCCGACCAATATACCCACCCGCCCAAACTATCTACTGATCCGTCAAGCGCTCTTACCCCCCCTCCCACACCGGCAGGAAAGGGAGGAAGGAAATGCACTGGCCTGCACACTGCTTGCAGATCACCACGCACAGGTTGATGGATGCCCAGTCGGGGCTCAGGGCTCTGCAGTCAGCACAGAACTTGTTGGCTTTGTTGGACCAGATTTTCTCAGCCACCTCGTAGTCATACAGCATCTCTGCAATGGCATCCTGCAGGGCCTCCATCCACTCCCGTTTTTCCCGCTCTGACTCAGCCACGAAGCTGGGCAAAGGCACAACCAGGAAACTCAGAGTGTCCTGGGCTTGTCCTTGGGCACCCGAGTTACACAGAGCCCCGCTGCAGCACCCAGGTATGCCAGGGCACCCAATACGCTGCCCAGCCTCCAGCCAAACCCCAGACTGGCACCCCCCAGCACAGTTACCTGAAGATCTTGAGTGGGCTGATGAGCTCGAAGCTACGGTTCTTGGCCTCCCGGATGGTGGCACCGTGGAGCTCTATCAGGCAGATGGCGATGCCCATTTTAAAGAACTACGAATGGAGATGGATGCAGTGAGAGGCTGCAGCCTTAGCCCTGCAGAGCCATGGCCCAGCAGGGGGTACAGCACCCACAACCCTGCAGGACAGCTGCACACGCTCCAGTACACCCACAGACAGCAATGCCTGCATGGGGCACTCTCCCCCTTGGCATACCAGCGGGCCCGCTTTGCCAGCCTGCACTGAGACTCCACAAAAGCACATATCCTGTGGGGTGGGGGTGGGTGGGTACACACCTCCTCACACGCTACCCATGCCAGGAATAACCCGTCCCTGGTAAGGTGGGGACTCAGACTCTGGTCTTACAGACCAGGCCTGTCTGCTACATTATCCTCTCTGCCCTGTCCCCCGTCCCTGGCTCCTCCCGCACACTGCTGGGGGTGGGCCAGGCCAGGGAGAATGGCCACCCCGTGTTACGGAGGGGAAGCAACTGGCTCTGGAACCAGAGGCCACCATCTACTCATCCCAGCCCAGTGCCCTCTCCTCTGTCAGGTCCCACAGGGGAAAGGGGCTGGTCCCCAGTCAGAGCGGCCTGGCCCGCACTGGCATTAGGCACACGTAATCCTTGAGCGGGCGTCCACAGCTCCTTGGCCTGCCCACAGACATGGGCACACAGGCTCCGGGCCATCATCTCTGATCCCAACTACAGGGGCCTCAGCGGCATGTGGGTCTCCTTGGGAGTCCCAAGCTGGGGCCATTGGGTGCTGGGCCCAGGCCTGCGGGGGTGGCCTCAGACTCAGCCTGGCTCCATGCTGCTGGGGGACTCTAGGGCTCCCCACCTGCAGCATGGCCAGGCCCCGCCTCGCTCACCTGCTCACTCTTGTACAGCCACATGTTGGCCAGGCTGAGGGCTGCAAACAGCTTGGACTTGTGGCCCTTGAGCTCCAGGGTGCCACACTTCTGGCAGTGAGTGCTGCTGGCCAGGCGGGGCTGGGGGCTGACCAACCGCTGCTCTGCCACCTTTCTCTGCAGGGTGGAGCACCACTCGTTCCTCTGAGCTGCAGGGCACAGCAGGGGTGGGGTGGAGACAGGCAATGAGTGTCCACACGCAGTCCAGCACCACCTGGGCATAGCCAGGACACCACAGATGGAGCCCAGCCAGGAGCCGGCCCCAGACATCCCAGCCCCAGGGCTCGGGAAGCAGAGCAGGGATGAGCAACTGGCCCAGCCGCAGCAGAGGGGCGCTTGCTGTGGCAGACCTGGGGGAGCTCCCCATGGTGGCAGGCTGGGCCAGGGGAGCAGTGAGCACTGTCAGTGGGAAGCAGGGACTCCACGGGGAAGCAGTGTCTGAGGGAGGCCATGGGTCGGGGGGCAGGGAGAGGAATGGTCCGTACAGGGGGCACAGAGGTCAGGCTGGAGGAAGCAGCTGGGGCCGGGGAAGAGTTGTGGATGCAGGCACCTAAGGGAGTTTGGGCTGAAGGACCTGCAGTGGAGGTGGGGGCTCTGACTTGGGAGGGGAGGCCTGAGGATGGGGGAAACCCCTCAAAGGGGAGTGGGCTCCGGTTGGGTGAGGGGAAGGCTCTGGCCAGGGGCTGTGGATTAGGGGCAGTCTCTAGCCATGGGGGCTCTGGCTGTGGATGGGAGGCAATCTCTGGAGGGGGGGCTCTGGCTGGGGGCTGTGGATGGGGGGTGGTTTCTGGATGGGGGGCTCTGGCCAGGGGTCTCTCTCACCTTCATTCTCGGCTCTGAAGACAAAGATCCTGTGGCTTGTGACGACCTGGAACTTGTTCTCCTTGGTGGCGCGTGCCATCTCAATGACAGAGAGCGGGATCACACCCTTGGGATATGGCTCCTGGAACGGCCCCAAGAGGGTTACACTCCAGACTCTGACAGGACCCCATTGCCCCTGGTGGCAGTGTGCCCCCTTCAGGCAGGGCCCAGGGAGTTTGCTTTGGGCTAACTTAGTGTTTACATTGCTCTTTTATTACCCTGAAGCTCTGTGTTCTTGGGGAACCAGGGCACAGTATCCAGCCTGTCTGACTCACGAAAGACCTTCCCCACCACCACCTCTGCTTGAACCAAAACGGATCAGAAGACTTATAAAAAGCAATGAAAAGGCACTGGGAGACACACCTAAACCCCTGGGATAAGGGTGACAGGATTAAGGAAACTCCCCTAGCTTCATTTGCATGGAAGATGAGACAAGTAGGCATCTCCATTAGCATACAGAATGGAGAACAGAGATTCCACGGCAAGAACTGCACAGAACTCTGGGACCAAAAAAAGCAGGGAAGCACTGCATGATGGGGGATCTCTGCTCCAGATGTTAATGAACCCACGCCTGTACACACCCAGCTCAGTAGTTATCAGACCAATTCTAGTAATAAATCCTTTATTGGTATCCAAAAGAGTGAAGCTGCCTAATTGCATTGAGAGCTCCTTCCAAGGAACACCACCCATAGCCAGGAATGATCAGCTTCCACTGTCTAGCCTGAACAAAACAACTTTGGTATACTCCCTTGAGCCATCAGTGTACACATAAACAAATCTAGTGTTCTCCTTTGAACCATTTTTGTTTCTCTACAAAAACCCCAACCCATTCTCAAGTAAGTGTTCTGATGCCTGAATCCAAAATCTGCCTCAGTTCCATTTGGACTTCATCTTCTCCTGACTGATCGTGCTGGGGACTCTGCCTGTCTCCAGCACTCCAGACCCTCAGCTACCACCACCACCTGGGACCCCCAATCGATTCAAGCTTCACGGAGTGGTGAGAACCCAGCTCTCTCTCTCTCTCTGTATAGCCTTCTAGCCCTGACTTGAGTGATCAGTTACAGTTTTCTCAACCTGAATTTTATAATCAAGTGCAAGTTAGATTTAATATTATAACTGTTTTGTTTGTTTGGCTCCCCTATGATTATTACCTGGAAATAAATAACTTTCATGATTAAGCTGGTTGCTTCTCTCTCTCTCTCTCCCCCTCCCCCACCCTTGTGGGTGTTTTTTGGTTTCCTCATTCATTCTGCAGCAACGCTCCTCGAACCTAAGTTAAAAGATCCCTGCAGCACCCAAAAATCCTGTGGGGTTTGCTCATGAAGTGGGTCACTATCAGAACAACTGTAACGTGAAAGTGGGGATAGGGACGTGCTGAACCTGGGACGTAGGAGGGTGGCAGCTTGGAGGTGCTGCTCAACCCTGCCTGCTGAGTCCAGGGACATACAAGGGGTGAGCTTGGGAGTGCTGATTAACGTGTGTCCTCTCCAATGTGCTCTGTTAATGTGTCTGTTTGTCTAATTCTGGGGCTGGTATGGAGGTGCCAGAGGTATTAACTGCCAAGTCTAGAGATGTTAAATGGCTCACTGAGAGCTGAAACCAGTTGTGGTGAGACTGTGTTTCTGCCCAGACCTGAAATCACTTGTGGCAGGACTGTATTTCTGCACAGAGCTAAAATCACTAAGAGACTGCGCAGCGGAGCAGCAAGCAGGCAGCCGGTGATGAGAGACCAGCAGGGTGGCAGTGGGGGAGGTTTAGATTGGATATTAGGAAAAACTTTTTCACTAAGAGGGTGGTGAAACACTGGAATGCGTTACCTAGGGAGGTGGTAGAATCTCCTTCCTTAGAGGTTTTTAAGGTCAGGCTTGACAAAGCCCTGGCTGGGATGATTTAACTGGGAATTGGTCCTGCTTCGAGCGGGGGGTTGGACTAGATGACCTTCAGGGGTCTCTTCCAACCCTGATATTCTATGATTCTATGATGTGATGATCGAGTAAGTGCCTCTTACTGCCCACCCAGGGTAGGAGGTGAACTCTGCAGATGCACCTCTGAATTCCGGGTCTGCACCGACCAAAGGCAGCAATTGTGAATGGGGTGCAGAGAAGGGTCGGGCATGTGAAGGGGACTTTTGGGTTGCTAGACTTAAGACTCTGAGGGAAAAAGAAGCATTGCCAGCAGATCAAGGGAAGTGATTATTCCCCTCTCTTCAGCACTGGTGAGGCCACATCTGGCGTACTGCGTCCAGTTTTGGGCCCCCCACTACAGAAAGAAAGTGGACAAATTTGAGGGAGTCCAGCGGAGGGCAACAAAAATGATCAGGTGTCTGGGGCACATGACTTACGAAGAGAGGCTGAGGGAACTGGGCTTGTTTAGTCTGCAGAAGAGAAGAGTGAGGGGGGATTTGATAGCAGCCTTCAACTACCTGAAGGGGGGTTCCAAAGAGGATGGAGCTCGGCTGTTCTCAGTGGTGGCAGATAACAGAACAAGAAGCAATGGTCTCAAGTTGCAGTGGGGGATGTCTAGGTTGGATATTACGAAAAACTATTTCAGTAGGAGGGTGGTGAAGCACTGGAACGGGTTACCTAGGGAGGTGGTGGAATCTCCTTCCTTAGAGGTTTTTAAGGCCCGGCTCGACAAAGCCCTGGCTGGGATGATTTAGTTGGTGTTGGTCCTGCTTTGAGCAAGGGGTTGCACTAGATGACCTCCTGAGGGTCTCTTCCAACTCTAATCTTCTATGATTCTATGAAAAGGAAACTGCCCAACCTACTTGGGGTGGGTCTTTTACTCATTGTTTATGTTTATGAACTCTGTGGTGTTTTCCCAAATTAATGCCAAGTTACTTCCCTCCTTTTATTAAAAGTTTCTTTTCTACACTCACTGTGCTTGTGAGTGGGGAGGAAGTATTGCCGCTCAGAGGTGCCTAGGGGTGCTACATAAATTTCCCAGGTTACGGGGTGGGGGCTCAAACCAATACTGTGTTGGATCGATGGAAAGGAACCCCTAGATATTGAACCCGGCCCTGGCTGCAGCTGGCTCCACCTGGCAGAAGGGTTACACGTGCATAAGTGTTGCAACACCTCTGGGATGGCAGGGGGTGTGAATGGACAGGCCTTGGCCCAGCTTGACTCAGAGCCCAGACCGAGTCCCTGGCACTGACAAAGTGAGCAAACAGCTCGGCCCTTGGGCCCAGGAGCACACAGTGCATGTGACTTGAGAGGCCATGAACAAGGAGCCCTTCAGCATCATGCACCCACGTCTCAGAGTCAAGCACATGCAACTCCATGGCTCTGGCATGTTCCTTCAGGTGCCTGCTCCCGGGATATTCCTCATTCACAGCACTGGGATGGGCACATATACAGCCGCTCCTAAGGATGCCCCCCCGGTCAGGCGCTTGGGCCTCCTCCTGGACTGTTCCCAGGATCAGGCCACGTACGCACTGGGAGCTGCACAGCTCCTGGCTACTAGCTGCACCATTCCAATGTGCCTGGGGCAGGAGAGTCCTGAGTGCCCAGGAGAGCAGGCCCGGCCCAGCTCCTTGGCACCCTGCTGGGGTGCTGCATGTCACTGGTGCGGAGGGCCCTACTTCAGCCTTAGCTCCCCTCTCCCTGAGCAAGAGCGCAGACCCTGCTGGGCGCCCAGGGCAACACAAAGGTTCCCAACTCAGGCCAATCCACCCTGCTGTCCTGGGAAGGCTCCCAAGGGGACTGTTCAAGGGGGAAATACACCATTGCCCTGCCCCACCTCCCCTCGGACTCACAGGGCAGAACCAGTTTCCCTCATCCCCCTCCTCTCCCCTTGGCAAAGTCCAGCCTGGTCACAGCCCAAAGCGGGAGGGGCACGGGGCACTGCAGCAGGGAATACGGAGGCAGAAAGAAAATGGAAACTGCTATGCCCCAGGGCACAAAGGGGTGCTCCTGCTCCTGTTAAATGAACTGGGACTGGGACACGCCACTCCCACCCCTTCCCCCTCCTCCATTAACCTCATCCCTATCCCTACCCCAGCCCTTCCCCCCCCCATCAATTTTATCCCCTAATCCTGACCCCTAACCCTGCCCCTTCCCCCATTAACCTCATCCCCTAATCCCAGCCCATCCCGCAACCCCAGCCCTTCCCTGTCCTCATCAAACTCATCCCCATCCCCCACCCTTCCCCCTCTTCTTCAACCTCATACCCTAATCCCACCCCATCCTCTAACTCTTTCCTCTCCCCCATCAACCTCATCACCCAAATCCATCCCATCCCCTAACCAAGGCTTAATTTATAATGAAAGAGGTGCTGGAGCTCAGACCCTGCACAAATTAAGCACTGGCTGTGAGGCCAGAGAGTGGCGGCTGCAGACTGGGCACCCAGCTCAGGACAGAATTACGGGTGGCATGGTATGGAGGTGTCAGGGCTATTAAATGCCAAGTCTAGAGGTGCTGGGGCTCAGCCCCCGCACAAATTAAGCACTGCCCCTAACCCTGCCCCTCTCCCCTTCTCCTAACCCTGCCTACCGGAGCCCCACCCCTCTCCCTGTCCTGCCAGCCCATCCCCTGACCGGGCCCTGGTAGCAGACTGCTCACTGTGCAGCTGGGCTGCGGTCCATACAGACTCACCTTCTCGCTGTGGAAGTACATGAGGTTTTTCCCATCGAATCTGATGAAGCGCCTCTGGAAAACGTAATTCCTGGTGGGAGGGCAGAGGAGGGGAGGCTGCTGGGGTCAGATCCTGGCAGAGCCCTGGCCCCAGAGACACCCTCAGACTAGCTAGAGCCCACTGCAGAAACAAGGGGAGGGCACCCCTGCAGGAGGTGAGACAGGGCTCCCTGGGTTGGACTCCCCGTCCCAGCAGTCGTGCTGCACCATCCCAGCGACCCGACTGGCCCAGCAGGTCTAGGCAGGCATGTCGTATATAGCAAGGCTCCCAGCAGTTGCAGGCCTACTTGCAGGTGGCAGCCTCACCCAGCATGGGAGCACCCAGCGTATTCACTTGCCAAGATGCACCAACACCCGCCATGGAGCAAACCAGCCTCCTGTGGGCAGAGAGTGACGCCAGGAGTGGAGCCTGGGCAAAGCCAGTGTGGATCCCAATCCCATCTCCAACCAGAACTGCACATGGCCTTACGCAGGCACAGGGCTGGGACCTGCTCATCACTCACTGAGGTCCCCTGACGGGCACTCACAAACCCTCCCCGGGGCTGGGCACTTACCCCTGCGGGGAGAGCTTGTCCAGCCAGCCACTGAGCACAGTGGGTGGGCGCTCGGACAGCAAGGTGTAGCTGGCATACGGGGAGATGGTCAAGTCATCCAGGACCTCGTCTGGGTAGAGGTGAGACGGAAGGCTGAACTGGGAGCCCTCGGCCTGAGGAGCCTCCACCATGGCATAGTCCTTCGTGTTGTTCTGGAGGATCCAGTTGATCCGTTGGGCCCGGCTCTCATGCTCCTCTGCCGTTCCCTCACTGCTGCACTCGCTGCTGGTCCTGCGGGTGGGACACAGCCTGCCTACTGCTGCTTTCTGGACGAGGGACAGCTGGGGTCCAGCAGCCCCCAGGCAGCACAGACACGGCCTCAGATCTAGCCCTGCCCCACTTCTCCCCATAGAGCCAGAGCTCAGACCCGGCGCATGCTCCACAGGGCACCAGATGAGATGTTTAGGCTGCACCTGTGGGGTCCAGGAGTGGAGACGTGGTGCTGCATATCACTGTCACACAAAGTGCCCCACAGACCCCAGCTGGCCCCCACAAACCTTAAATGACAAATTGCCATGTGGGACCCCAGCATGGGCACAGAGCACCCCCTAAACATATGCTCTGGGTTTGCTCACAGAAAGCAGCAGAGCCTCTGAGGGGCATCCTTGGGCTACTAGTGGGGTCCAACCCCCCTTCTTCCCCTCAAACCCCAGCACCAACCTGCCTCTGCCCCACAAACCCCGTCACTGACCCCCCACTCCCACCCCTCAAACCCCAGCACCGACTGCTCCCCTCCCGCCCCACAAACCCCGGCACCAACCCTGCCTCCACTCCTCAAACTCCGGCATCAACCCCGTCTTCTCTCCCTCAAACCTCGGCATCAACCCACCCTTCTCTCCCTCAAACCCCGGCATCAACCCCCTCCCGCCCCACAAACCCCAACACCGACTGTGTGGGAGAGAGGACTGTAGCATGACACACAGGGTAACAACTAGGGCCAGGAGATGTTGCTGCTGTTGCCTACTCTGACCTTGTCTCTGCTTGTTTCCCCACCTGTTTTCCTTTCTCTAGCTTTGGCACCTGCCCCGCCTCCGTGGGGCACCCCTCCTATCTTGGTCTGTCATTTTTAATCCTCTGACTTCAGCTCCCTCCATTTCTTCTAGAAGGCCTGCAAACTTTCTGTAATGGAATGCTAAACTGCAGCCAGTCCATATGTGGTACAGAAGAACATGACATGGTGTCAGGAGTAAACTAAGAACAGAAACAGAAGGCAAACAGCAACAAAGGTTGCAGACAAAAGGAACAGCAACAAAGGTTGCAGGATCTCATCAACATGCCCCAGAGAACTTCAGCTTTAACAAACCTTCAGACTGGACAGACCAGAAACCATATTTTGCAAGATTTCACATTGCTCCCAAGCTGCACAGAGAAACTGGAGATATACAGGTATCTTCTTTAATTTATGCTATGGGGAGGCAAGCAGAATGAATCTTTCAGTCCTCTGACTTTACTGAAGACAGTCACAAAGAAGACTGTGAAAGGGTTCTGGCTATGTTTGATGCATACTTTAGATTGCAGAGAAATACAACTTGTGAAAGAGCATGTATTCACCAGAGAATTCAAGAACCAGGGGGAAATGTTGAATGTTTTATAAGAACTCTGAATAAATTGTCTGAAAACTGTGATTTTGGGAATGCAAACCATGAAAATACACCTCTACCCCAATATAACGTGACCAGATATAACACGAATTCGGATATAATGTGGTAAAGCAGCGCTCCGGGGGGCGGGGCTTTGCCGTCCAGTGGCTCAAAGCAAGTTCGATATAACGCGGTTTCACCTATAACGCGATAAGATTTTTTGGCTCCTGAGGACAGCGTTATATCGGGGTAGAGGTGTATCAGAGAGAGGCTGGTCTTGGGTTAAGAGATATAAAACTTTCAGAGCAGCTACAAGTGAAGAGAGATTTAACTCTAGCCACCGCTATACAGATACCGAAATAGTCTGAAATGATGAAAAAGCAAAACCTAGAGAAACTTAACAAACTTGCAAAACCTGTGTAAAGCTGAGCCAATGAAGGATTAACAATCAGCAAGCTAGGGGACCTATAAGCAATCCTCAAGGGCATATCAAAAGGGTATTGCAATGGTAAACAGGGTCATTCCTTGTAGATGGTTAGCAAAGCCACGTCAAGTAGACTAGAATCTTTAACATGTTTGTCTGTATTGTTAGCGAACCAAAGGGCAGATGCTAAGTCTATTCGTCTCTGTTTACTTATATCTTGTTAGAAGTTTAACCATGTAACCAGATTAGCTTGTAGATGCAAATTCGTTTTCATGTCTTAATTGCCTTATATTATGTATGAGGCTGGTTCAGTTAACCATAAGATCAAAGATGTAAGATACTGTAGGAAATTAATAATATTATTTATGCTGTCTTCAACTCCCTATGCTATAATGAAATATCAGCTGATTGCCTGATGTCAATGAATGCAACTAGTTTACCTGTGTCTGCAGAGGAAATAGAAGATTAGCTTCAAAGCAACGCTCCACAGACAATCTGCACTGCCTATTCTTCCTCAGGGGCAGGTCCTGCTGTGACAAGAGACTTGTCAGCTTGCTAGAGGGCTTTAAAGAAACATCCCAGGCCTTATCCTGCTATCTCTAGTCTGCTTAAACTTTGAACAGGAAAAATATAAGTCGTAAGACGGAGATCTTCCAAATAATGATTTGGAATAACCTGGAAAATACTTGGAAAGACTTGAACGGACTCTACACTTGGACTGCCTATTGGACTGTACCTCTTAAATTGATTCCAGAAAGACTTTTACAAATCAGCAGCCTCACCTCACCATCTCTGCTGTTTTCACAGTAACAGCCGTGTTAGTCTGTATTTGCAAAAAGAAAAGGAGTACTTGTGGCACCTTAGAGACTAACCAATTTATTTGAGCATAAGCTTTCACATAGAATCATAGAATCATAGAATATCAGGGTTGGAAGGGACCCCAGAAGGTCATCTAGTCCAACCCCCTGCTCAAAGCAGGACCAATTCCCAGTTAAATCATTCCAGCCAGGGCTTTGTCAAGCCTGACCTTAAAAACCTCTAAGGAAGGAGATTCTACCACCTCCCTAGGTAACGCATTCCAGTGTTTCACCACCCTCTTAGTGAAAAAGTTTTTCCTAATATCCAATCTAAACCTCCCCCACTGCAACTTGAGACCATTACTCCTCGTTCTGTCATCTGCTACCATTGAGAACAGTCTAGAGCCATCCTCTTTGGAACCCCCTTTCAGGTAGTTGAAAGCAGCTATCAAATCCCCCTCATTCTTCTCTTCTGCAGGCTAAACAATCCCAGCTCCCTCAGCCTCTCCTCATAACTCATGTGTTCCAGACCCCTAATCATTTTTGTTGCCCTTCGCTGGACTCTCTCCAATTTATCCACATCCTTCTTGAAGTGTGGGGCCCAAAACTGGACACAGTACTCCAGATGAGGCCTCACCAATGTTGAATAGAGGGGAACGATCACGTCCCTCGATCTGCTCGCTATGCCCCTACTTATACATCCCAAAATGCCATTGGCCTTCTTGGCAACAAGGGCACACTGCTGACTCATATCCAGCTTCTCGTCCACTGTCACCCCTAGGTCCTTTTCCGCAGAACTGCTGCCTAGCCATTCGGTCCCTAGTCTGTAGCTGTGCATTGGGTTCTTCCGTCCTAAGTGCAGGACCCTGCACTTATCCTTATTGAACCTCATCAGATTTCTTTTGGCCCAATCCTCCAATTTGTCTAGGTCTTTCTGTATCCTATCCCTCCCCTCCAGCGTATCTACCACTCCTCCCAGTTTAGTATCATCCGCAAATTTGCTGAGAGTGCAATCCACACCATCCTCCAGATCATTTATGAAGATATTGAACAAAACCGGCCCCAGGACCGACCCTTGGGGTACTCCACTTGATACCGGCTGCCAACTAGATATGGAGCCATTGATCACTACCCGTTGAGCCCGACAATCTAGCCAGCTTTCTACCCACCTTGTAGTGCATTCATCCAGCCCATACTTCCTTAACTTGCTGACAAGAATACTGTGGGAGACCGTGTCAAAAGCTTTGCTAAAGCTTTGCTACATCAGATGAAGTGAGCTGTAGCTCACGAAAGCTTAAGTTCAAATAAATTGGTTAGTCTCTAAGGTGCCACAAGTACTCTTTTTCTTTTTGCATCTCTGCTGTGAAATTGACCTATGGACTTTACACATATCTGTATATATATCGAGCTTTTAACCGTTGTAACTCTCCTCTTTGTATTCCCTTTTTAATATTAAACCTGTAGTTTTTAGTTACTAAAGGATTGGCATCAGCGGGATTATTGGGTAAGATCTGAGACTCAAACTGACCTGGGGATAAATCCTTTGAGATTGGCAAACCTCACATATGGTGTACCAGGTTTTCAATAACCCCTCTCTATATTAGGCTTGTCTGTCTAATTCAGGGGTGGGCAAAGTTTTTGGCCCGAGGGCCACATCTGGGTGGGGAAATTGCTTGCAGGGCCATGAATGTAGGGCTCGAGCAGGGGGTTGGGGTGCAGGAGGGAGTGTGGGATGTGGGAGGGGATGCACTGTGCAGGAAGGGGCTCAGGGCAAGGGGTTGGGGCAGAGGAGGCATGCAGGGTGTATGAGGGGGCTCAGGGAAGGGGGTTGTGGTGCAGGAGCGGGTGCATAGTGCAGGAGGGGGCTCAGGGCAGTGGTGCAGCAAGGGGTGCGGAGTGTGGGAGGGGGCTCAGGGCAGGGGGGGTGTGGGGTGCGGTCAGGGTACAGGCAGGGGGCTCAGGGCAGGGAGCTGGGATGCAGGAGGTACAAGGGGGCTAAGGGAAGGGGGTTGAGGTGCAGGAGGGTGCGGGGTGCGGCAGGGGGTTGGGGTGCAGGCAGGGGTCTCAGGGCAGGGAGTTGGGGTGCAGGGTGCATTCGGGGTGTGGCTCTGGCCCGGCGCAGCTTACCTGGAGCGGCTCCCTGCCTGCCTGCCCTGACCCCGGCCCTGTGCTGCTCTGGCACCACGTCCCTGCGACCCCTGGAGTGCCTCCCCCAAAGCTCCCATTGGCTGCAGTTCCCCGTTCCCGAAATCAACAGTAGAGAATTCAACAGAAACCATTGACATCTACAATTTGTTCTTCAGAAAGAACAATCAACAGAGAAAACACTACAAATGATAAACGCAGAACAAGAAGGCGGGTCAAGGATTCCAAAGTGACCATAGCTAGTCGTTGCAACTAATGGACAGCCAGCTGACCAAGTTGTTACAT